CTCTTGATTCAGGAGCAACAGGAATTTGAAGGTAAGCATCCGCCAGATCCAGCTTAGCAAAGTAGGTACCACCATTTAAAATAGTAAATAAGTCATCTGGGATCGGTAGCGGATAAAGATGCTGTTGTAGGGCCGCATTGAGTCCTGTGGAAAAGTTTACACAGATGCGTATGGAACCATTGGATTTTGTTACAACCACAATTGGTGCAGCCCATGATGAATAAGCAACAGGTACTAGAACATCCTCAGATTCCAAACGTTGAAGTTCAGCGTCAACCAGAGGTAGAGATGCGTATGGAACTAGGCGTTTTGGGCGAAAAACTGGCGTAGCTTCTAGCTGCCGTCTTAAAACAGCTTCCGTTGTGGAACAAAGTCCGAGACCGGGCTGAAAGAGCTCAATAAATCGTTTCTGAAGGTCTGCAGCATGCTGTTGTGTAGAGGCAGTAGTTTGTACTTGATTGCAGATAGCGCTAATGGGAAGATCAGCGAGACCAAGTTCTTCGAACCAATCTAAGCCCAGAAGGTTGAGTGGAGAATTGGTGATGTAGCATGTCCCATTGAAGGTTGTACCTCTGAATGAAATGCAACAACAGAGTTCACCATGAAGGCGGAGATAACCCCCACAGGCACTGACGGCTGTCTGAGAGGATGGTTTGATGGGAGGTTGGCCCAAGATTCGCCAAGTCTTTTTCGAAAGAATAGTTATATCTGATGCAGTATCCAACTGCAACCGAACTGGCTGACCATTAATTGAGATAGTCAAAAATTTGCGTCGCGTCGCGGCGTGGGTGTGGAAGATTGCTGCTAAACTTCCTGATGAATTAATCGGCCTTTTTGGAAAACGACGCTGCGTCTGGGCATTTTGACAGTTATTGAAGCGGTTGGATTTGCAAAAGCCGCTTTTGTGACCCACTCTCTGACAGCGATCGCAACTATGCTGTTTGAATGGGCAGAACTTCACATAATGCCAGTCTCCACAGTGCCAACATGGCGAGGAAGGCTTCTTCTGAGCTGGTTTGGAGTGGTTTGGGACGGAAACAGCGTTTGAAGGACTCGAGGTTTTCGATCTCGAAGACTTTTTCTGGTGCTGAAACGCATGAACTTCGAAACCACCATAGCCCCCAGATTGAATCAAAGTGGTGTTACGCTGCAGGTTGATTAGGCGTTGATATTCATTAGCTATATCATTCAGGGTGAGTTTCGGCTCTTGATCCAACCAACTTAGTAGCCTTGTTCGTAAGTCACTGAACTTTTGGTGCTGTAGGCTGCGAATGAGGATCATGGCTTTAAACTGATCTTCAGTTAGAGACTTTAACCGGAAGCGTTCGCATTCACGGTTGACGACGCCCACATGCATAAGGAAATCATCACCTTCGTTCATAGTTAGCTTCAAGCATCGATAACGAGTATTAAACAGTGACGAGTTATCGCCAAAATGTTGGCTTAATGTTTGAACTGTGTCTGCAAAAGATTGGGCACATGGGTTCAAAGGCAGGATCAGATTGCAATACTTATCCAGCTCAGTTGCACCCGATTTACGAAGTAGCAGCCGCACTTTCCAAGCATCATCTTGATTGGCGAAATCAAATTTAAATAGATCTTCGTAAAGCCTGAACCACATCTCAAAAGTAACATTAGAATCAGGATCGTAGTGGAATTCAGCTATACCGTTTGCGATGCCATCTACGATGGTGTCGTGGTTGAGCTAGACGTGCTTGGCTGCAAGGGAGACGTAACCCTGGTCTCGGTCAACATTTGCATCAATTTCAGCTGCTGCTCAAGTAACAGTTCAAGTTTGGAAGGGTTCATAATTGAAAAACCGCCGTCGCCAAATTGTTAGGGTTGAAAAGCTTAACGAGTTCACTTAGATTGCGAACGAGAACGAGATTCAGTGACCAACGACTAGTAAGCTATCTATTGACGCGTCCCAGCCCCAGCTAACTAGAGGAAGAAGTCCCGGCTTGAAATGAGAAGTATATTCTGCAACAACCCGAAACCAGCAAACTTTTTTACAAAGACAATTTTAAACGTATATATGTAAATATCTATACATCGATATTGCCATGGAGCTTTTAAACATCTAATCGATAGTTCGTCAATTGACTGCCATTGAATTATTTAAACATTTAATCGATAAATTCGTCAATCGACTATATGCGTGGGTGGTAAGAAATGCCCACGTATACATCTGCATACAAGCTCCACAAGATAAAATTACAAACTATGAGTTCTGGGGGAAATGACACCTTTTCTCATTCAGGAATGGCATTAGATAATTTCTGAGGTATTTTCTGAATACCCCAACATTGTTGTAGTAGTTCTCCAAGTTTCAGCTCCATATAGTAGAACTGTCTTGACGTTCGTATTGGAGATTCTCATTTCGATTTTGGTTGACAGACAGTTGTTTTGACTTCCATACGTTCTTCAACTTTAGGAATGCGGCCATTGCTTTGCCGATTCTCGCGTTTAAGTCTGCATCCGATACTATTTTTTCATCGATGATGCTTCCCAGGTACGTGAAGGATTCTACATCTTCCAGAATTTCGCCATCAAGTGTGATTGGGTTAGTGTTCTCCGCGTTGTATTTGAGGATCTTGATTTTTCCTTTGTGTATGCTGAGGCCTACTGATGCAGAGACTGCTGCTACACTGGTTTTCTTGACCTGCATTTGTTGATGTCTGTGACGATATCTGCTTCTTTCGTGATCATTTGTATTTGGTACATGGCGGTTGCATAGTTTTAATGGTGAACCAATCCTGTAACTAGAGGTTATGTATAATGAATTTGAAATCAGGGAACCTGATTGACTAAAAGAATGCACGAACAAAAACAACGTTCTTTATGAAGCTCAATATGTGTTCAGAATTGACGGTTCTTGCATTTTCAATCTTCTCACTACCTTGGACAGAAAAGCTTTTGGGACTAAGTGATATTACTCCACAAAATATTGTGGTGTACTGCACGCACACCTTGCTGCAAATTTTGCAAAAATGGGTTTCCGTAACCCACTTTCATTCTGGTTTACAAACCACATAGAGAATCGGATGTTTCATGCTAATATGTACAAGGCTCATGGAAGCTGGGGTACGACAACATCAGCACTGACGCGGAAAACCGTCTTGGTGAACTCCTTTTCTCAATTTTCATGAATAACCCCTTAGGTAAGTACCCTTATCTGAGCTTATATGAAGCTCCATAAGGCACGAAGAGTAGTAATGTGAATATTCAGCCTCATGAGTCACGAATAACTTACATAATCTATAACAACCTCCTCTAGACTGTCGCTGCTGAAGGCGGTTCACAAACAGTTTGACACCACAGTTAAATTCTCTGGGGATGTTGTCAAGGCGAATACCACTATGCTCTTCATACAAAGACAGCTCGTCACAGTCATTTGACAAATGTTTATGAAACTCTTTAATGAGTATGCACGGCGTCATCTTGAAATTCAGGAACTTGTTGAGTTTGTAGATCGCCAACGTAGATGATCTGTGTCGAATGATTGGAGCCACGCTTACGGTAAACTGTAATGGTATGACGAACCAACTAACTTCGAAGTCACACTTCGCGGTACGCGTCTAACGTGAGTTACCCCATCGACGTATCAAAGTACTATGGCTGCTTTGAAGACTGTATAACACAAAGGACGTTATTGAGGAAATACATTAGTAAGGATGAGTACAGAGATAGAAACCACTTCCACATGCGCCAGTTCATGGCATACGATTAAGTAATGCGCGTTGATCGTCCTTGACCTTAAAATGGATTGATTATCTGTTCGATATTCAGTGACCCAACTGCCGGATTACATGGTTAGGCTCAGTGACATTTCATTGTCTCTAAAATTTCCCCTTTTGAAAAGTGACATAAATGTCTTGAGTGAAGAGCTGGATACTAAGTGGGTGATTAGGCTGTTCGGCAAATCGTGTGAAGAAGACCTCCGAGACTCAGGGTCATTCTTGGTAGGCTGCAGAAGAGTGAGAAGTGAATTGGTAGTGACCCACCAGCACCCTACCACGGAACTCTTAGAAGAAAACCAGTTTGCGCACCTTGATGCAGCCTCGGCACATCAAAGATAGAAAATCCAGGTACGACCACAGCACCTATAATGAATAGCCGCAAGAGGAAACTGGACGAAGGCATACTCACCCATGGATTATCATTTAATTTTTATACTATCTGTACCTGGTGTGTGTCTCACAGCTTGTTTGCCACTATCAATACCACATGCTACCAGCTTTTTCCCATCTCGGTTCCAACAATCACCATCTCCATTTCACTTATACATTTCAGTTTGTCCATATTTATCCATTACCAATTAATTAAATTATTTGAACCATGAAACAATCGTATATTCACAATACTCAAATTTTCTAATTGAATGAACCTCCTCCTTCAAATCATGATAGCCACTGGTCCTAGAAAACATAATGGGAGCACAAAGGAACGTACAGATTTGTAGATCATTAAAGTAGATGATGTGTGTCGACTGGATGAAGAGCTATTTGAGATAGACGGTAATAGTATGACGAAATAGCTTACTTCAAAGTCACACTTTGCAATCGGAACCTAACATGGGTTACCCCTTTGTTGTTTTCAAATGCCATGAATGGTTTTATGACCGTACAACACAAAGGACGTTTTTACAGAAATATAATAATACGGCTGGGTACAAAGAATGGTGCGATCACCAAGTTCATTTCGTGCGATTATTTGATACGCATTGACTGTCCTTGAACCTGAAAGAAATCGGTGAACTGCCTGACATTCCGTAAACCGACTACCGAGTGATTTGGCTAGGGTCTAGTGACATTTATACCAGCTCGTTAAACGGATAGTGAATATCAAATATTAAAAAGCCATCTAAAAACTGTGAGATGTATTAAATATTTTCTGGGATGAAACTTTTAGTCTCAATTCAGAAGTCGTATGGAAAATGCAATGTGGGAATCGATGTTTGTTTGTTTGTATCAATATCGTCACTACTTCCAATAAGAAGTGTAAAGTGGGGGTAAAACAAAGGAGTTGTTGTAATGACGTTTTATTTATGCGATATTGATTAAAATAAGTATCTTGTCTTCTATTTCAGTACTAAATGGTTTTTCAAGTCAATTATTGTGTACGCATGTGTTCTGTTCTTAGGCGTGGAGAAGGGACTTAGTCACTTTCGGCCCGTTAGTCTAACCAGTGCAGTTGTCAAACTAATGGGAAAGATTACTCGGATGGGTGTTATAAATCATGTAGAACGGCATGATTTTTCATCCCATGGACATCGAGATTTTCGGAAAGGCCTATCATGCTTGACAAATCTGCTCATTGCAAGAGGAGATTGGGACGTAGCAAAAGGTCAAATAATTCTTGTAGATATGATTTTCACTGATCTAAGTAAAGCTTTTGATAAAGTCGTCCATTGGGACCCTAAATTAAAACTGAAAGGCTTCGAGATCCATTGTAAAATCATAAACTGGATAAGTTGCTTTGTCGATGGTAGGAGACAGCTGGTAAGGGTAATTGGAGCTCTCAGCGTGGGAATCTGTAAAAATAGTTCTCAAACGTATAGTCCTTGATTTTCTTTTTTACTTTGTTTGAATGGGTTTTCAACTGAAGACCTATACACAGTATGCCAGATAAAATAATATTACAGAATGATCTCAATCCGTTGGTGGCCTGGATTAGTGGGCGGTCACTAGAAGTAAATTCTAACAGGGGTGTAGTGATGCAATTAAATAACTATGATGACTCATACCACTACATAATACGTGGAGTTGTGTTACCCAAGGTGAAGGACTATAAATACTTAGGAGTCATAATGAGCGACCTGGAGACTGAGCAACTGCAAGGCTTCTGCTGGCAAAGACTATGGGGCATTATGAGCTGTTCGTAGGTCTTTTCAGCACTTGAAAGAAGAAATGTTTATAGTATTACACCCAACTTTCGTGAGATCGCATCTGGAATATGGGTAACCATAGCCCATGTGGCCTATATTGAACCCATTTGATTATAATACTGGTCTCTCTAGATCTGCCCCTAGATGGTTGTTTTATTATTTAATTTCTCAGGGAATAATCTGTTGTTTGTAGACTCGTTTATTTCAGGGACTCATAGCAGTTATTCAGTTACAATGCTGACAAAGTACTGGCTTTTAAACACCTCAAGTGATATTACTTAAAAGTTTAAAATTCTTTTCTCTTCATAATGCAAAAAGAATGCTATTTCAATACTAGTCGGTTCAAGTGTTTAGTTTAGTCATATATTGTAAATCAGTCTGTATCGGTAAAGTCAACTTTGATTCATAGTAAAACAATCGCTATCGGGTTGGTGGATGTAAAAATCTCAGTATATGTTCGAGAACTTTGCTTAGTTTTTACTTAACATCCCCTGTGCCACAGGTGGAATATCTCCTTTTCAAAGGGTTGGGATATTGCATAGTAGTTTGCCTTATGACACTTCAAGCGGATAAATATTGACTTTTAGAAGCATCTGGTATGAACAGGTTTCATGTATTCGATAAGTTGCTTCAAAGCATTGCTCAAAGATGATTGGATAGGTAATGCAGAAGTGAAAAGTAGTAGGTGGAAATGATAAACTAGCTAATAAGGTAAACCCAACACGCTACATCCATCAGCCGCCACTTATTGTTGTGTTGCTGTAAGCTAGCCAATGGAAAATTAAGATAAGAGGATCAGAGTAAAACAGTATTGGTTCACAAGGTCATTCATTGTTAGTGTAAACGAAATCGGGGGTTACAGATTTTTTGGTTTGGGTTCACGAAATAGCTATAATCTATTATCGAAGATTTTGGATTACTACCCAGAACAGGTGTTACTGACGCCAATACATCAATTCTTCATATTCCTTTGGCTTATCAGTTTTGCTCCTTTTGAAGTGTTTTATATCTAGTTTTCAACCACTAAAGCTGTTATTTGGTAGAATAAAGCGACCTGCATAATTTTGTCAGGTCCTATGTAATTACTATCGATTTGAATGTAACCCATCGGTTTACATTTGAATGCCTTAACAACAAAACCATAGCTTGACAGGTAAATAAATCCTACTTAAAATTATCAGTTATGACTTAGGCTAACGGATGTAACAAATTTTAATTTTTCGGAAATTGTTACCTCAAAAACTCGACTTTTAAAATATGTAGTGGGACAGTAGAAAGGTTAAATTAGTTGGTTCTATACACTTGCAACTAGTTAATACAGGTCTTATTGTCGATGTACTTAACTCACATACTACAGATTTACGCAGTTGCTTTGAGCTACACCATATGATACTTAGTGATACTAATCGGTCAGCAAAACCCGAAGTAGATAGTGAAGTTTGAACCTGTTGGAAGCAAAATGTTTTAATCGCCAAACTACGGACTCATATCAACACAAGAGATTGTATGCAAAGTTAGTCTACAGTATCTGTAACTTGATTTAAGTTTACTCATACCCGCTTTTATTTATCCAATAAATATGTTTCGTCTATTCAACCGTAATATTTTTCACATAAATGTAGGTACTAAATGCTTGCTAGTTTCCTTTTGTTTGCCCAATATTTGTCAATGTATTTAGTTCGTTCGATTACACTTGTTCCAACCTATTTATTGTTTAGTTCCCCATATGTTGTCAGTAACCTACTAATTTATTACTGGGTTCTTTTTGTTAGTCTATTACTGTCATCATATTACTTCACAGTTGGACTTACCATCGTTATTTACATATGATTAGTCTAATACATATATGTACCTAAATCCTTTCTCATTTTCGATAATATCAGTAGTTTTTTTATTAGAATTTAAAAGATCAGTTGCCTTATTTTCTCTTGTTCATGTCCAGTAAAAAGTTATTTAATGTTTCATTTCATATTTTTGTGATGGGTTTTGGTAGCTAGTAGTATTTTCAGTTAGCTTCTTTACTTTAGCATGAAGTTGTCCAAGTTTTTTCAATAAGTTATTTTCCGTCATTTTAGTTATGTTAGATGAACTACCGCATCGAGTTAATTGGAAAGACAGTAATACTACTATCGGGAATGACTTAACAAGTCTTACGACTGGTTTTCATGAAACACACAAGGAAAGATTTGAAGATTATGTTGGAAGTTGGACGAACCTAGACGATTGCAGGCTACTTGATCATGTCTCTCGATTGGGTGAAAATCGTTGGAATCTTATTGGAAAAAGACTTGGCAAGTCAGCTTTTCAATGCTCAGAAAGGTAAATGATGGTAAATTATTGTTTTCCCGTCTCGTTTACATAAGATTTCTCCAGAAATTAAATTGATGTTACGGCGTGTTTATAGTTTTGAATGTACTAAATCCCATGAATTTACTTCATGATTTAGTCACATTACTTCCATTTTTGGCCACGTTTTCAAGTTCCAACTTTATATCATAAACGACTATGATTACTTCCTAATACTATTTTTTGTTTATGAATCTTGTGCAAGCTGATGAACGATTTCAGTTACAGGATAACCTGTTAACTCGATTAATTTCTTTGTCTTTCATGACAAAGATAGGCTTCTTCTTGTGCAATGATTAGTATCCACTAAAATGCGGAGGGGGAGGGAAGTATCGGTGAGCAAGTACGTTTTGGCATCAGTACAAATGCCAACTAAGCGATAGATTTTGAACAACCACCATCCAGATTGCTGGCTTGGTATTCTACAGTGTAGGTTAAAAAAATTCAATTCCCAAAACAATTCTAATTTTGTACCTGACTATCTGATTTTAACCATTGTTCACCATATGACGATAAAAAGCTTTATTCCTTGGATAAGACTCCAGTATTGCTAACAAAATCCTTTGACAACTTATGTATTGATTCGGAGCTATTTAAGTTAATCAATTAAGTGAAATTGTAGTAAAACGTTTCCTCTTTGGTTCACATCGTAATTCATGGATTCATATGTACTTAAAAGCTCCTCGTTTGTTGTTTTATGCCTCTCCCTAACTCCTTCAAATCGATTACTGTATTATAGTAATGTAAGCGTTTTACGTGTTAACTTAAGTAAGATATTAAGTCTGCCTCTCAACCTATTAAGTGTAAATAATGGCTCAAGACTGACTTAGTTTCATGCATGAACTATGTTGGTAGTGAAACTATTCTGTGTAAGCTACAGTTAATATGTACTATAATCGGTCAACCTGAGAAAGTTCTTTTAAGTTAACCGATTGATGTATAACATGACTATCCTAAGTCAATCCGCTTATATTTTTCAAAAACCTTGACATATGAGTTTTACATTTAAAACTGACATCTATTTGAAATCTTTATAAAACCAATTCACTCGGCTCAATCACTATTTTTTTTAGATATTTGAAGCATTTACGTCCTCAAATGTTAGGATCCAGTAAAACCTATACAACTCTAATACAACATAGAGCTATACCACAAGCTATTCTCAATTCAGATCAAAATTCAACGTGGACAAAAGATGAAGACTCAACTCTCCTCCAATTGTATTTAACATATGGATCCAATTGGGAATTAATAGCTAATCGCCTAACCACTAGTGGTAGTTCGCATAAAAAACGAACTGCTGTCGATGTAAGACAACGATATGAAAAAGTTGTTCTCCAATATTGGCCCACTTATGATCAAGAAAATCGTCCACTTTCTAGTTTACTGTTTCGTAATTCGTTGTAAGTTTGTTTTGTTAAAAGAAGTTCTGATTTGCACTTTACTTACTTATCATAAATGTAACCCAAGAAATTCACACAAATCCCCTCAGCTAATTAAGTGATGGTTTGAACTTACAGTCTAGTACTTCATAACTAAGTGATGGCTTACTTATTAAAGCACTCAACCTTCAACATTTTAGCTGTAGGTTTAAACCATGCTTCAATTACCTGACTGGGAATGATCAGGTTGTATCAAAAGTGTAGTTCACTGATAAAAAGAATATATTTCTGTCTAATTACTACCTATATGTAAGTTAATTTTATCGTGTTTGCTAGGATATTGTTCTTGTTTTTGTGATCACAACATAAAATTAATGGGTTTCTTAATATCGCACTTTTAATCGACTAATTAGTCTATCATACTTTATAATTTAATAATATCATTAGCATACCACACGATAATAGCGATCAGTGCTTGAAGACGTTGGGTGACATGATCTATGATCGATCACATTGATGGATATCCATTCACCTTTTTTTCTTTCACTATTTCTAGAGTCTCTGAATTCTCTCATAAATACTTTTTTTTTCCAAACATCCTCTGTTGTATAAGGGAATAGAGCAATAATCCTAGTCCCATTTCGGGTGATTATAAATCCCTACATATAAAATTTGTTTACTTGTTGAAGCATTATTCTTCAAGTAAAATCATATGATACATTTTTAACGTACGCAAAGATTAAATCGTAATTTCATATCACGCCTAACAATTCAACTGTTTCATTGTAAAATGATTAAGATTTTCCGAGACACCTAATTGTGTAAACGATAAAACTGAACGATAAGATGTTTTTTGTTTTAATCGGATGCCCGTCTTTAAGTTTGTAACAGATTCTTATGGTTATATTAATATATTTTTCTGTCATTTCAGTTATTATGTACGTTCCTGACTAACCACGTATGCAGAGGAAAAAGATCAAGACTATCAGGAGTGTTATTAACAAAAGCCGGATAATAATAGTAATTAGAACTTCGTCGAATGGTTGATTATTATGGATTCAGCTAAACGGTTTATGAGGTCATAAATCCTAATCGACTAATGTGCTTATGACATGCTTTACATATACCCAACCACCGCCTATCTCGATGAGCGGTTCTTATTATTGCAGAAGTATATTGGTTAAAAGTCGGGCACAGCCAAACCAAAAGGTGGCATCATTCCATGAAGTTATTAACTTCTGGTCTGAACAATGTTGGTAGATCCAGTTTACGTGATAGGGATCCATGTGATGACCCCGATCAGTGGTTTAAGACTTAGTATAGACTCAATCACTCTTTACCTTTTTCTTAGCCTTCAATCCCAGAGTCCCTTCATACATATCTTGCTAATCTGTCTTTTCAAAATGTATTCCTAATGTTTAATCTTATAATCAATGCTACTACAATATTTCGGTCTCATTATTTTCATCTCATGCTGACGTGATATGACAACTTGGGTTAACCAACATCCGTGCCAGTCTATGTTGACGATGTTTATTTATGGTCTGTCATAGGTTCGGGTGGAATTGTCATCATTGTACATGCTTAATTTACATAATCCCTTAACATACTCATATTTTCATCAAAATCACGTACTGATTGAAGTTATACAACCATTGGAAATCCGGAAACACTGAACTACCGTTTCTCTCTAGTATGGGACTCCTCAGGAGTGTGTATTCACGACGACGCAACAGAAGGTCAAATCCAGTACCTTTGGTCTCCATTGGATTGTGGCTCAGTGGTTTAGGAGTTAAATGTTCACGCACGAGACCGAAGGTCTACTGTTCGGTTACAGTTGTGTGGTTATGGATGCGCACTTCTGATATGTTCCCCGTAGTAAGAAGGAATGAGCGTTCAGTATTTCCAAGTTTTCAGTGGTTATTTAACTTCGACCGGTTCATGATTTCAATGAAGCTCAATAATCTCGACAACCCTGACAATATTCACAATTGTTTTTTCTTCATTTCTTTCCCAGATTAGCCTGGTCAAATAGTCCTAAAAATAACAGTACTCACAACAAAACAAGTTCAAATGATCAATCAATAGTTAGTAAGAACAATGGTCGACCTACTTATTTAATCCCATTATCTTCATTAAAGTCGAATTACGATTCTACAACAAATGGAAATTGGAAAATTCGTCTAACCCAACCTATTCATCATCATCATGATTCAGGTGTAAGTGATGGAGAAAATATTGATTTTTAATGATAATATTAATTGCTTCAGATAAGGTAAATAGTTGATAAGAGAAATAGATAGTTAAACTTATCAGCTTAGATTGTGTAATTGTCAGGTGAAAACAATGATATACAATGAATTCATGGTATTCAGTTAACAAAATCAATTTTATTTTTATTTAAATTTGTAAAGGGAGTACCAGTTTGATAAATTAAGGGGGGGGAGAGAGAGATGTAGGTCACTCCCTAGTGGTTATTACCTAGTTTGTAATTACTTCAAACTCCTGTCTGTCTAATCAATATTATAGCACACTAGTCACTAACCGAAATGACTGATACCTGTTGTATAGGGCTTATCTACTTGATAGCGTAACTACGGTAAAAAAAAACAACAAGAAGTATATCTTTTAATTTTCAACGCTAAAACACCGTTATATCTTGTCAAACACGTTGTTAGCTTCCAGGAAACTTTAATTGTAAGAGAAATGCTAAAAGATCATCACTGGATCAGTGATTTTATGTAGAACAGCACTGAGCCATGTTCCTTTCCGTATTGGTCATCATCATGTATATTTCGTAGGTAAACATTTATCGATATTCGGTATGTTTTGTTTTTGTAAAGAATGAGTTAACAAACCAATGAATACCACCATTAACATAAATTGTTAAAACTGAATCACACTGAAACGATTAACATAGGGAATAGGATTTTCTTATTGTGTTATAAACATGTTTTCTGAGTTAGTGATTGCGTAATCATTAAATTTACAATGTTTTTCTGACCTATTATTAAAACCAAAAAAAAAAAAACAAAACAAAACATATTTTTCACTAACAAAGCTTTAGATAAAAACACTTTGACCTTAACAATTTTGCTTAACTTATAGTGTGATGTGATGTTGTCCTGTAGAGGGAAACATTTTAAAGTACAAATAAATGTTGTAGATTCTATTCAATGACTATTCAATAGCGTCAATTTACACTTTGTATATAACATTGGATATGGGATACTTGACAATAGAATTTGAACTCGTGGTTACTCAATCATAAACAACTTAGCATATATGTGTCAAGCTGACTTGTTACACTTCACATTATTATATAGTTACAGGAAATTATTAAGAACAATGAAAATAGTACCAAACTATTAGGAAAATCAAACATAAATGAAATAGGAGAACAATCTACGATATTGGTGCTAATTGACAGCTGTATAGTGTAGAAACTCCAATTGTCAATCACTATGTCATCTTGCTTCTTTTACATTAACCAATTGGTATTAGCTGGTATATTTGACACACATATATCAACCACCTTAGTTGTTGAAGATTCATGAAGTTATCAAGCAGTTTACTTAATCCTATTTTTATCCATCTTATCTCAGTATTAATCATTTGATTATCTTGATATTTTCGAAGTTATCCATTGTTAAATATGTGAAATTTGTATATGTAACTAAGAAGTCAAGTCTTGTCTCTAACATCGATAACTGAATCTCTGTGCTAATGTGGTATGGCAACTCGAACTAATGTACGTACGTACAAAGTTCCACGTTGTTTCTGACTGACTGACTGACTTGTCTCTAACTCGACAATTGTTATGAAGACGAAAGTTAGTGATATTAGTTCGATCATTAAAATAAATATTATTCAACTTTAACTTGATATATGTAGCCAATTGAATATTGACATTATGTCCGAAACGGTAATCAAATGACATTGATGTCTTATTGTGTTTCTTTTCTTTTTTTTTCATACTGCCTGGTTATAATTTTCATTAGTTTTCTTTTCATATTCTCTCTCAAAGTTAAAGCAGATAGTAATAACATTGTTATCATTATTCTATCTTAATTCAGAAATATCTATGCCATTAAAATATATTTATATCGGTTTAAAAATCAGTTTCCTATTGATAATTGTCAGCATTATAATCTTGATGATAATCTGTATATGTGTATATCCTATCTCTTTAATAATAATTATTATTGGTACAAGGAGGCACCACATATATATGCGCCACACAAATCTCATTTGATTTGTGTGAGGGCTGTGATACTGCCCAGGTGCCCAAACCGAAGCAGGCGGCTTTCTTAGGGGGCCACGCCCAAAGCCTTTGACCTCAAGGTTTGACCCACAAGGCAGTGGAGCATCGTAAGGAGATGCAGTTTCATGGTAGTCGGTGACCAACGATTGGTTCATACGCCACTTGTTCCTTCAGGATCCTGGAGCCCATGTGCACCATTGTTTTGGGATGAGAGTGGACTTTCCGTGTCTACCAACCCGGTTAAAGCGCCGGACATTCTCTCTTCATCCTCTCAATTCTGTAAACAACACCCCCGCCACGAGAGTGCAGTGAGATGGACTTCCCTGGCAGAGGCTATATACGCGTGGCCATATGTGAGCATTTCGAGAGGGTGAGCGGACTCTCCCCACTCTCGGCCGTATCAGGGCATTTGATGGCAAATTCTTATAATATTCTTTACAAAATCGAACAAGTGGTAAACAGTCATTTTAATTGATTGTAAAACTTTTGACTCCATTAAACTATGTGTGTAATAATGTACAGTCAGTCAGCAACGACGTAGAACTTCGTACGTACGTTGCCATACCACATTAGCACAGAGATACAATGTTCGATACAAATATCATAGTGGTAGAGGTAGTAAAAGTATAAGTAGTAATCGGGAAAATTAGGGTTTAAAGATGTTATTCAAGGAGTACAATACATCGAAATAAATTTGAAAAGAGAAAAAAAGATACAAGGGGAATTCAGGAGATCAGAGAGACAAAGAATGGATGCACCTGCGCCATCGCAAACGATTTTGAGCCATATGATTCAAGGTCTCTAACCATCGGTCGCTATCATCTCGCGGATCCCAACCAGGTAGTCTACACTTACTAACATGGCTCAATCTACTTGTCAGTGACTTCATGGATTTGTGCCATGTTTTGGTCTGGTCACCCCTAACTTTCTTTCGACCTACTCCTACACCATAAAACATCGCTGGTGTGGGCAGTTGGTGGTTAGGCATACGTAACACATGTACACAATTCTTGAAGCTACAAAGTTTGTGTTAAAGAGCCGATAGTGATTTCACCCGATTGTCTAGATCGAAATCAGTGGAGCCCCGTAGGATTCAAAGTTTTTAAACCCCTCGATCTTTGTGAAAACTAGATGGAATTTAACCATCAAGTCATTACCTCATTGATGACTCATCACATTAAGCACCTATATCCTTATTTTTCTTTGAATAATGACTTGTTTCATAGATGTTTGTCTTAAATTTTTGAATGCACTCATCTTCAAATTATCATTCTTTATTTTAATATGTACGCAAATTAGTTTAGTGAATCTGGTTTGTCGAACAGTGTCCAGTCTGGTGGGTGTAATTCTCAGCAATCTCTGAGGTATTCAGTTGTGACGACTTCCATCAGGTAAATAAAAATGCTCTTGTATTCGTTATTTTAATATTTTTTCAGGATCCCCTGATAAATATTCCATCTATTAAGTTAAATAGATGAGCAAAAATTTGAATTTTTAGAATATACAATTGGAGATGGTCTTATAAAACGGGTTAGGTGACCGTTTAAAACCTTAAAGCATTAGTTAGTTATTTCGTATTAATATAGGGCTTCTCGGAAGTGCACATCTTTGACCTTGTCTTGAATCAAACTTCATGATACCTGGGCTATTCAGTAGTCCATATTTTTCAATCCATTCCGTCTGCACAACCATCACTTACCACCACCACCACCACCACCAGTGATAACTGTATGACTTAACTCGGTCGAACTTCGTCAGTCATAGCCTCTCACTAGAATTTCAGGAATGCTTCTGCAGATTATATTAAAATGAAATATCTTGTCAGCATTCTTTGGTTTGTAATGATTGTTTAGTTAAAGTTAAACCATCATGTATACTATCTTTCAATTGAACAAACTCCCGCTCTCCGAAATGTTTTTTTTTTATAAATGGAAAAACAAAAACAAATTAGGTTGGTAATTACCAACATTAATAACCTATGTATAAGAGAAAAGGGTTTTTCATGAAATTTAAACCATCAACTGGGTTAGTTTGATTCCAATGAAGTTACAAAACTTCACTGGTAATTCGTCCTACTGTAAATGTAAGGCTTGATGTGTAGTTGGATCATGTTGATTAGTTATTTATAAGTTTCATTAAACCCGGTATAGATATACAGTCGGCTTATACTTCTTATCATATTTTACACAGACATAGCCAGAGAAGAAATTAACTAGAAATAAACAAAATAGTCTATATAGTATTAGTTGTAGTATTAAGTAAAACATAGAAAAGATACTTTAAAATGGATGGGAAATATAAAAGGACGATAAGCACTAGTTTGATGTCCAAACTGAAGATTTAAAGTAAGCAAAGTAATGTTGTGTACATTCTTCGTTGTTAACATAGATTCTGAGCCATTGTTTCCTTAAGGTTTACTACCATAGATATTAGAGTTATTTCACCAAGTCAAACACCAGTAGTGTGGACATTCTGATATGTTTATGTCCTATTGGCTATATAATCAATATTATATTTAAAGTATGACTATTTCTTTCCTCCCTGCCCTACTTACCCATTCCCTTATCTACAGTTCTGACAATTCCTTATTATCTACATCAACTCCAGTGGATTTAATTAAAAATGGTCCATTATTATTGTCCAGTCCTGATAAATCTCAATTCAGCCTACCATCATCATCATTGTTTATCAAATCATATTCACCTAAATTACTTGAATCCAGTATCAATGACGATCTCACTTATTCTCCTACTTCTTCTTTTTCATCTCATTTTTATAATAATAATAATCATAATAATAATGATAATTGTTCATCAAAAACAACCTCTCCATTAAAATCAATTCATCAGATAACAAATGGATCGTTAAGTGTTCTCATAACTGATGATCACAACAATATCAATCAGAATAATAATAATAATAATAATAATAGTAATATTAATAATCAATTTATTATACAAACACCTACAAAAGCATTAAGTGAAGCTGATCAATTATCATTTCATTTAACTAGTCCACCAGCTGTTTTAGGTTCTGCTGGTCGTTATCCTGTTACTAATTTAAATCATAAAATAACAGATTTAGATAAAACACCAATTGGTTCAAGAATTCCACGTTATTCACAGATAAAAAGAGATGGTGCACCGTTACGTGTAAGTTTTGTATATGTGAGATGTGTTTTGCTTTATAATGTTATGCATGATCTTTTCAAATAGATACACTGACTGGCCGTACAGTGCTTTCAGGTTTTCCATGGTGATATTAACCATTGAATATACACTGACTGTGAGTGTTCATAGAAACCTTTGTTTACAACAAAAACTAAGATATTCCAGTCTTAATCGCTTTCAAATTACTTTCAATTTGTGACAATAAATGTATTCTGTCTCCATTCCGATTGTCAAAAATTAGTACTTGGAATTCTTACAAGTTAAGCACATCCTAGCGTCAGCTTTTGCATAACCGTTTGCCCTGGTATGGCCGAGAGTGAGGTGGGCCCGCCCTCCCTCTAGAAATGCTCTCACATGGCTACGCCTATACAGCCTCTGCCTGGGAAGTCCTACTCACTTCCTTCTCGTGGCGGGGGTGTTGTTTACGAAAATGAGAGGATGAAAAGCGAATGTCCGGCGCTATAACCGGATCCCAAATCAATGGTGCACATGGGTTCCAGTATCCTGAGGGAACAAATGACGTATGAACCAACTTCTTGGTCACCGGCTACCATGGGACTGCATCTCCTTACGATACTCCACTGCCTTGTGGGCTAGACCTTTAGGTCGAAGGCTCGGGTTGCGGCCCCCCTAAGAAAACCACCTGCTTCGGTTTGGGCGCCCGTGCAGTATCACAGTCCACACACAAATAAAATGAAAATTTGTGTGGCGCATTTATATTGGGTGCCCTCTTGTACCAATATTTATTTGTTCAAATAAAAGTAAAAATAAAACAAGTAATCTCATGGAAGTGAGTGTGGTAAATTGGATAACTTGATCTAACTTTTAAAGTTAAGTGTCTTATTAAAACTGTGTGCACAGACGATTTTCACGAATTTGGTTTATCGAAAATCATTCTGAGAGTGAATCAGTAATTCGGAAACCACAGAAAGATTGTACATATTCAATGTTTTCATCAACGCAAAAGGTCTACTGGCTGATTTTTCGAAGCTGAGATCAAGGTAGCGTGATCCTTGACCTTAAGTTTTTATTGGTATAATCCATTTGTTTTTCTGGTGTACATTTGTAAGACCTAATTATGGGGATCGTTGAAGGAAGACAATCGCTTGTAGGATAATCGATGTATGGATAAATATAAATTTGTTCATTCAAAACCGTAGTCAAGCACAATGCTATTGTTTACTTCATGTTGGTTAAGAAACTTCAATCTACCTCTTGTTATATACGTTTATGGATTAATTTCAGTTAATCGATATTAATGTCGATCATTTAGTGATGATTATTGTAAAGAATTTTACAGTTCACTAACACTAACAGCTAAGCTCCTAGGGGTAGTAGACCAGCATGTGGATTATGTTCACTTCAATTGATTCAACACAATAATTTATATGCTTAAATAGACTTTCATATAGTCTGTTTATCCTGAATAATAGAATCATGATAAAGCTGTGTAGTTCAACTGTGACTTAGTTTATTAACTCAGTTTTTATATATTACTTATTTACTGATTTATTGTATGCTACTGAATTACTTTTTATTCATATTTCAATACTTCAGAGACCACTTTGTACCAGGTTGTTTGATAATATACCAAATAATAGTTCTCTTCCTTCAACGTCACTTTCTTCATCGTCAACAATGAGTAATACTAATCGTAATAATTTATCTGAGAAAACTTTTTCAACATTATCCTCATCAACAACATCATATAATTCCTGTGATCAAGCTAAATGTATAGCTATTCTTACAGCTAAAGCAACTGTTTGGAATCGAGCACTTTTACCAACTACTACTACATCATCATCATCAACAACAACAATAACAGCAGCAGCAGCAGCAACAACAACAACTTCAATGTTAACATCTCAAAAATCTCATCTTTCTTATTTTACTGCGAATAATAATCATAATTATAACAGATTATTCAATGAGAATGAATTCCATATGAATCCATATCATTCTTTTAACTTTCCAATGATGAATTATTATCATAATAATCTATATCCTTATAAATCATATTCTCAAACAATTAATAATAATAATAATTATTATATCAGCTTGAATCTTCCACCATTAAAACCATTAAAATTCTCTGCTAGAAAACAACCTCATTTAACACTACGACGTATTATACAAATTGCTAATGAAGTAAGTTTATATTATAATAATTAACAGTCTCATTCATGTTGAAAAGTGATCCATGAAATGTGATGAGTTTTAAAGTTTTCATCTGAGACCAGTGTAGACTGCTCCCAAATGCTATGGTACGGTCGAGAGTGGGGAGAGTTCGCCCTCCCTCTTGAAATGCTCTCACATGGCCACGTACAATAAACCACTGTCAGGGAAGTCCTACTCACTGCATTCTCTTGGCTAGGGTGTTGTTTACGAAATTCAGAAGACGAAGAGCGAATGTTCAGTGCTTTAACCTGGTTGGTGGACACGGAAAGTCCACCTAGGGGAGTTGAAACACCCTGATTCTAGACCAATGGTGCATATGGGCTGGCTCCAGTATCCTGAAGGAACAAATGACGTATGAACCAATTGTTGGTCACCGGCTACCATGAAAACGCATCTCCTTAAGATGCTTCACTGCCTTTGTGGATCAGTCCTTTAGGTCGAAAGTTCCGGGTGTCCCCCCCCTAAGCAAACCACCTGGTTTGATTTGGGCACCCGTACAATATCACAGCCCACACACAAATAAAATGGAATGACAATATCATACTTGTTTAATAATAATTCATCTCATTTATTTTGAAACTAATCGTTTGTTTGGAATTCACTTAGTATTGTTTACTTGTATCTTCCCATTGTTATTTAGGACTGAAATTGATCAGTCTCTTGTTGGCTTGTGACCTAAGGTAATATCGAAGCAGTCCGCACAGGATGCTGATATACCAACAAGAGACTGATCAATTGCAATGCTAAATATGAATGGGAAGATACAAGTAAAACCACGTCAAGTGAATTTAAAAGTTCACTCCATTGTACAAGCAGGTAGATATCAGGACTCAGTAGCTAAATGGATAACGCCATGGCGTTTAATGCGAACAAGTCACAGGGTGAACATCAACTCTGAGATGCAAGTACGTCCAGCTGATGAGTCCAAAAAAGTACGAAACCCGCATCCTGGATTCTACTGCTAGGCACTATTCATCTTTGTTTATAATCATTTGTTTGTTTAATAAAAAAAGAAATTTCTAATTAGCATTATTTATATTTCTTTTAAATCTTTCAAAGGATGATTGGCAAGAAGTTGCTTATGGTAATAATTATACTTCTCAAACATTAATTCAATTAGCTAAATCATTTACTAACAATTATCAACAACAATCCATTAATGAATTAAATGATCTCTCATCTCATTCATCATTATCTTCACCATTATTACCTATAATAAAGAGAACAATATCCGAAGAATCAATGAATCATTATTCAATTGATCATCAAGATTGTTGCTTGGATATAGAACAACAATCAATCGATAATTATTGATGAGAAGTATTCTCTTTTATTTTTTTTTTATCTTTACTTCATTTACTTCCATTTTTAATACAGTATATTTTAAAGTGGAACAAATACAATTGGGTTCCAAATTAGATTATATTTTATCGTTTCAATAATTCTCCTCTTGTTTTATTGAACAGTGTAATCATATGTTCGTTAATTAGTCACAGGTATATAGGTCTTTTATTCTATTTGATCAATCAAGGAATTTTGTTTAATTTCAGTTGTTTTTTTTTCTTTTTCTTCTTTTTCTTCTCTTATATTCTCCTCTATACAATATTCATTATTATTACAACTCCTTGATCTTCATCTGATCATATAGTATTAGTAGGAAAAATAAAACAATATACTGTAGTGTTGATTACACACGTTTTACCACTACTCTATCACTTTCCTTGAAAATTGTTACTTTAAGCTAGATCGAAAATAACCACAGTTTCTTTCTTTGTTATCCTAAGTGAATTAGATGATATCAATGATAGTGAATGAGTGAATTTACAATGTTCTTGTTCATAAAGTATCAAATAGATTCGATCTGAAAGTGTGTATGTGTGTGTATATGTGTATGTATGTATGTAAGTTTGTCTATGTATTCATCATTATTCCTTTAACCATGATCTTCATAGTTTTTTTTTTATATGTGATTTTCCATGGGAAATCACTTTTTCAATTTGATAAATTTATTATATATGAAATATGTATCATTTTTCATTGATGTTCCGAGTGATTTATATACTATTGAAAATATTTTATCATATTCCTAACAATACTACTCATATTGTAGTAATATTATTAGTAGTATTGTTTACATATTAACTAGATGGGTTTTTTTTTCTTCTCTAAACGAAGCAATTATGTGATATTCATTAAACATATATATATATATATATATATATATATATATATATATATATATATATATATATATATGTCATTATGAATTCATCTTTGTTTATTGTTACTCTTCCCTATGAAGTAACTTAAGCAATCTCACTATAGGTGTTCATGATCAGTATTAGTATTAGTATTCCTTTTCTCACTATGTCATATATTCACTTCTTTAGTCTTTTGTTACATTTCCTTTCTTCTGTTTCTTCCTTATTTCTATTTATCATTTTACATTTTACTTGTAATTACTATATGAATAGTATTAAATATATTACATCATAATGTACTTTAACATCATAATCCTTTATATATATATATATAGTATACAATTCATTAACATGTATACTTTTTGTATTAGATGATAAACATGAATCCATACTTGAGATGGTGGAGAAGATTTTTAGCTTAGATGTATGAGTTGAATGGTTTGGTTGTGGAGATTTCATCGTTCTTCTGAACAACATCATCAGTATAAACTTCAGATAGAATTGAATTATTCACTTTAGAAGAACGATGAAAAATTCCACGATCAAACTATTCAGTTCAGAGAACAAATCTCCATCAAAATGAACCAATACTATTCATGGTTCATTATATTTTTCCCTATTTCTTCTCTCAATATATCATTAGTAATTCACATAACAATGTTTTTATATTTATCTTTTCAATTTGTACATTATTGCATTATAAACTGTTAGAATACATTATCATTATTATTATGCTCTCTCCCTCTCTTTCTCTCTCTCTTTATATATATATATATATGTCATTTAGGATTCATTCATCTATCCATTTTGTTTTTAATGCTTACTTTGTAAACATCCAAATTTATATAAAACACAATGTTATTACTTATTATTCTTGTTCTTGTTTTTGTTTTGTGTTCTTTTTTTTTTTTTTTGATGATGGGTTTACATTGAATATGGTTTGTTGTTTAAATGATGTGTTGTGATTTCATTGATATTGTTCATTTTTTGAATAGTTTAGTTTTGTTGATATCAATAAGGGGTTTTTGGTGGATATTATAGGATTTTCAGTGGTTAAGATCATGAGTTAGTTGAAGCTAGATCATGAACATGGGAAACCCAAAAAGTACTGTTTGACGTTCGTTTTGTTCTATTGTGGGGCTTCTCAGTAGTAGTGCGCATCCACTATCTCGCCAGGTCTGTTGTGAGATAGTAACTCAATGATGACAATGATGGATGTGTTGTTCAATTTCATGGATTAGTTGAAGTTAGACATTAACACCGTTGAATGTCAACCGACTTATTGGTCTAGTGGTAGAGCGGTCGTGCGCGAGACTGATATGTCTTGGGTTCGCAGTAGGCGAGATTGTGGATGAGCACTGCTGAGGAGTCTTACAATGGGACAAAATGGCCGTTCAGTGCTTTTAGGTTCTCCATGTTGGTGTAGCTTCAATTGATTCATGATCTTAACCATTGAAATATTGTTAAGTATGAAATAGGTACTATTACTACAACTACTTATGGTTGTTCAAACCGAATTAATGGCATAGAGCTGAAGTGGAGGGGATTCTGGCAAAAACATTTCTACGTATTTTGGTTATAGATCTTTATGTAGTGTATTACAAAACGACAGATCGTCAAAGAGGTGCTTGTAACGTGTGCTCTAAGTAAATCAAACCACCTTCCTCACTCTTGCATAATTCTACTAAGCATAAGAGTTTATTATTTATTTATTCGCACACATAAATACTGGTACAAGTTGGGAATAGATATATATGCGCCACAAATTTCATTTGTGTAAGGGCCGTGATACTACACTGTTTCCCAAACCGAAGCAAGTGGTTTTCTTAGGGGACCACACCCAGAGACTTCAACCTAAGGGTCTGATCCACAAGGCAGTGGAGCATCGTAAGGAGATGCGGTCCCATGGTAATCGTTGACCGACGATTGGTTCATACGCCATTTGTTCCTTCAGGATACTGGAGCTCAAGTGCACCATTGATTTTGAATCCAAGTTTTCTAACTCCCCTAGGTGGACCCCGTGTCTACCAACCCGGTTAAAGCACCGAACATTCGCTTTTCCTTCTCTCAATTCCGTAAATAACACCCGTGTTGCGAGAATGCCGTGAGTAGGACTTCCCTGGCAGAGGATGTATACGCGTGGCCATGTGAGAGCATTTTGAGAGGGTGAGCGGACCATCCCCTCTCTCAGCCGTACCAGCGTATTCGGGGGCATAAGAGTTAGCAGGAAAAAGGTTGGGAGATGGCTACACCAAGGAACAGTATCAATTCATAAAGTCATTGACTAGCAGTATGCGTTGTATCACAAAATATAAAGTTCACGGAGCTGTGATAAAGAGATATATAAATACATTTAAAACTATGTGTTAGTATAAAAACTTTTGTCACTTATTATGGCCCACATAATTCTTCCATGTGTTTTCAGAAATGAATTTTTGTAATGGAGTAAGTTTTCGTGATTTCACCCTCCGCCCGTCATAAAAGCTAATCGGAATGAAACCAGTGAAAGGTGTATGGCGATACATTAAAATTTTGTGGAAAACTGCTATAATCACGAAAATGCTCAGCAAAAGTGCAAATTTAGAACTGTTCTACCTGAAGTTATTTATTTTTTTTATGTCTGATATATACTTGATTTATTGTATCTTTGCATCCCCTTCCTTGTAAGCTGTCGTTTAACAACACAAGCTACTGTTGTGTTTTTCATCGTTTTAAAGTTATTGTTAGTTAATTATGGACCTATCGCATTGCTCTCCTTCATTCATTGTGTAGTTAATTCCTCTATTGTAATTTTTTTAATGATATTGATGTGTGGTGAAAATTTCACTTTGTATTGATTGTTGAGTCATAAGAATGAACTGCATGATTAGAAGTCATCTAGTTTCTGTGTTGTCCTCTGTTCTAGTCATCGGACGATCGAGCTTTGTAAAACTTATCTAGATCAATAGTGACTAAGTAATGGTCACAGCTGTTATCTCACTATTATCATATCATCAGTACTAGATAAACAATCTAGGCGAAAAAAAATCAATATTCAGACCACATCATACAGGCCCCAACATAACCCTAGGATTTGTTTTCCCTCAGTCATATCAAAGCAAATCATGTGTGTTTCTGGATCTTATTGAACACCTCTTATGTTTTATAAATCTAAAAAAGTAGTATTGTAGTGAATGAGAACTCAGTTGAGGAAAATCAATTTACTGTTTCATGCAAAATTACACAATGCCTTCGCAAAATGTGAAAACCATACGTTGAATACATTATTTGGAAATATTTCTTCACTTGTCCTGTATGTGCTTCATGATTCTTCCACTTTGTGTTGTTATGACAATTGCTTTCCAGGTGTACGTTCAGGTTATGGGCGAGTATTTGATCTTGTTTTATTAATTCCTATTTTATATTCATTAATGTGATGAGAGGACGTAAAATGTCAAGAAATCGATTAATTAGTGAAATAACTGCCAAGAAAATGTGTCAAACCCTAACAGTTTGTAAAATTAGTCATTCATGGGTGGTGTGTAACGTAACTTTGGATAACTGAGCACACTAAGGTCAATCAGCCTACATTAGACAAGAGTATTTCCATCTACACATTGTCTTTTTCATCCGAATGGTCCGGCGCTTTAACCGGATCCCAAATCAATGGGCTCCAGTATCCTGAAGGAAAAAATGGCGTATGAACCAATCGTTGGTCACCGGCTACCATGGGACTGCATTTCCTTACGTTGCTCTACTTCCTTGTGGATCAGACCTTCAGGTCGAAGGCTCGGGGTGTGATCCCCTAATAAAACCACCTGCTTTAGTTTGGGCATCCGGTCAGTATCACAGCCCTCACACAAATCAAATAAGATTTGTGTAGCGCATATGTATATGGTGCCTCCTTGTACTAATATCTATGTGTTAAACGAAATAAATTTCATCCGAATACCACAGATAGAACGGGTGAATTCGTGGAAAAATAATACTAAGCCTTGTATGCTTTATCAGTGTACAGCCTTGATAGTTCTATACCATATAAAACATTCATGTCTTCTGAAATCAATGGTTCTGTAGCAAGTTTGTGGTGAAAATTTTCCCTTTGTAAATTAATCAGATCTCCACAAACCATCT